GGAGGGCCCTCTGCCTCGGCCGCGACCCTCTTGGCCGGAGTGCCCTCGGTCGCTACGACCTCGGCACTTGCAGCCTCTCTACCCCTCTTACGACCTGGGGCTACATATGGATGAAGGAGAGAATGAGTAAAGGAGGAACGAGGCCCAGGAATCACTAAGCAAGAGGAGAGTTTCAGAACAGGAGGCGTGAAAGAAAAATGAAGGAAGGCAGGGTTTTTATACTAGCACTGGTTTTTATACTAGCCTGACAACGCACTCGGAGCACGCGAAGGGTGTGTCTGAAACTTGGGGGCTGATGTTTCGGTTGGCGAGGTAAAATGATGGCTCGCACAAATCGAAAGCGCGATGATGTGTCGGAAGCCCAGAGGCCGTCGTTTCATTTGACGAGGCGAAGCGACGCCTCGCGTAAGTCTGGGCAATGATGGCCTGCACGACGTGCTTGGGCATTGAATGCGCTTGGGCATTAAATGCGCCGACTGTCCTGCGCATTTAATGCACCAGTTGACAATCACTTCAGAAGGAATGCAAAGGGTCCATCCCCTGGAATCTATTCGGCCTCTGCCCATGCCGAGACCGAAGAATCCGGGGATGTGGGGGCAATGTTTGTGCCTGATAAATCACGGTCGTACACTGACCAAAGGGGTCTTCCCCCTCGGCCCCAGCACCTGTTTGCCATCCAAAACGCAGCGCTTTTGCCTTCCTCAAAACTAAGGAAAAGTTGAGAAGGCATAGTCATCTCGGCCTTGCAAACACGGTTTCGATAGGCCAAGGCCGAGGGACGAAGGGGACACGGCCGAAGATATTAAGAGTCAAACCGTCACATGGGAGCAGGGTCCCACGCTTCATTTAATGAAGTAACGCCGCTGACTAGCAAACCCACTAGCCGCAAAAGGGCATTTAATGCACGAGGGAAGAAGGGAGGTGACTCAAGTCAGGATTTGGTGACAGAAATCAGAGTGGTTAGGCGCCAACATACTTACAAACATTCTTACAAATTGAGGTCAGATCACCAACCACCAAACAAGGGCATTAAATGCGTCCCCACGGCCAGAAGCGCAGAACCCACGATCAGGGCGGCGGCCGAGATTTACCAGGATTCATGGGGTCACACCACCATGCTTCACGATCCCAAATGTCGATTGGACTACCCACTTGCTCTGATCAGGCTCCACCATGCAGATTTTCAGCCTCGATTACTCCTCCAAGAACTCCTCCTATAAATACCAAGTTCAAGCTACATTCAAAGGGTTCAAACACCAAACAAAAGCCTCCCACGGAGCAAATTATATTTTCCTGTAATGCACTTTCAATACCTTTACTTGTTTTTCTAGGAGTAGTGTTAGTTTGTAAGGAAAATCTATTCATCAATATATCATACGACCCTTGATTTTCAAGGCGCTGGAGCACCATCTCTGTTACTCTTTCATTCATCCCATATATCATACAACCGTCGCTCCCTGAGCAGCGCGCCGGAGCAACGCCCAAAATCCACCATCAACACCACCACTAAACGGCCAGCTCAGGCCGTGAACCTGATGGCCGAGATCAGTTCTTCTCTCGGCCACAATCGTTTGATTAGAAGTCGAATTCAAACAAGCGCACCACTTAACCATTTTCATCCACATTACCATCTCGACACGCGGTAGACCGTGCTGGCACGCCCGCGCACAACCGCACCGCATCTAAAAGAAGGAAGCCACGTGTTAACGCACATCCCCTCGGCCCGGAGCTCCAGGCCGTGAGATTTGCGCAGCCAACTAGCTTCAGGCGTGAATATTCGGGACAGTGACCACGATCGTGTGATAAGAATGACAACGGGGAATGACAACGCAAGTCAACACGGCCGAAACCGACTGGCGCTACCCCGTAGTGAAGTATCTGCGCGACCCCTCCGGCAGCCGTGAGAGGACTACGCGTTTCCGAGCTCGCTGTTATTTAATTTATCAGAACGAGCTGTATCGAAAGGGATCAGACTGGTTATTGCTTCTATGCCCCAGAGCCGAAGATATTAAGGTTATCATGACCGAATCCCACGAGGGGATTTGCGGCGTTCACCAGTCTGGCGTCAAGATGAGATGGTTGGTTCGGAGGCACGGCTATTATTGGCCTACCATTTTAAAGGACTGCATAGAATATGCGAAAGGGTGTATCAAGTGTCAAATCTACGGCCCCATACAAAGGGTACCGGCCGAAGCCCTCCACCCGGTTACTAAACCGTGGCCGTTCAGAGGATGGACCAACATGCATGGATTCTAGTGGCAACCGACTATTTTACTAAATGGGTCGAGGCGGAGTCCTATCAGTCAATTTCTAGCGCACAGGTGGTCAAATTCTTCGAAAATCACATCGTCCACAAATTCGGTATACCTGAAACTATCACAGCCGATAACGGCCCAGTTTTCGCGTCAGCCAAGACTCGGGAGTACACCGAAAGGATGGGGATCAAATTGATTCACTCAACACCTTACTACCCCCAATCTAACGGACAGGCCGAGGTGAGCAACAAGGTAATCAAGGGCATCCTTGAGAAAATGATTGAGGACCTAGGGCATGGCACGAATTGCTCCGTGAAGCCCTTTGGGCTTACTGAGTCTCAAAATGATCGGCTACGGGCTCATCCCCTTATGCCTTAACCTACGGTCACGACGCCATCGTTCCAATGGAGTTAAAGGTTCGGTCTCTCCGTGTGACCAAATGGCCTGGGCAAGAAAAGAAGGACTATGCGCAAGCCATGGCTCAGGAGTTAGAAGATTTAGAGCAATCCAGACTCAATGCTTATAACCTAATGCAGGAACAGAAGCAGATTGCGGCGAGGGTCTACAACAGAAAGGTCAAGCAAAAGACTTTCGCAGAAGGCGACTTGGTATGGCGAGCCGTGCTTCCTATCGGGACTAAGGACCCTCGGTTCGGCAAATTCTCACCCAACTAGGAGGGGCCGTTTATTATCGAACGAATTCTCGGCCGAGGTGCATTCCAGTTGAGATGGAGAATGGCACAACTTACCAATAAATGGCCAGTATTTAAAGAAATATACCCCGTCATTATGGGAAACGGCCGAGAATGAGTTATGAGGTTTACAATTGACAAATTAATGAAGTAAACAACACGATGAAGATGAAAGGAAAAGCATGCATTCAGTCGGAGGGAAAAAGAGATTATACTTCATTTGGATTAAAAGAAAGGAGTCATGTTTACAAAGAAACGGCCAGCCATGGCCGATCAAAACATATAAACGTACATATGTGAGAAATAGATTACATCCTAAGTCTACGAACAACGGCTTCGTGATCCCCTCGCTGGATAGGCAGACGATTCTTCCCGAGGCGATGTCTCCGCCACCCATATCTTCACTAACCACGACCCCACCAAGGCCGTCACTCAGGACATGGGTACGGCCGGGTGAAGCCAGGGCCGTCATTCCGGCCAGGGGAAGGGCCGTCACTCTGGACATGGGTGCAGCCGGATGAAGTACGTCATTCTGGGCACGAGCATAGCTGAGCGAAGCCAGGGCCGTCACTCCGGCCATGGGTGCAACCGGGGTGCCCAGCCAAATGAACATGGCCAAGATAGAATCATCATACCAGACCCTCCCATCTTCATGAATCGCATTGCAGTTTCTCCACGGCCTTATAGGGAGGAAGGTCATCCTCCTCCAGGGCTGGGAAGAAATTGCGGCCACATCATGGCCTTGGCTCACGTCGACTTCCCAAGACGAAAGACAGTTGGTGGACAGCAGGAGAAGAACAGCCATCTGGATCAGGCCAAACTGCCACAACACGAGGTTCAGCGGATATGGTTCGACCCCGGTTTTGGAAAGGCCACACTGGGGACCATTAGAGCAGGTTAAAATGGAGGAGAAAGGGCTAGAAGAAGAGCGAAGCCCAGGAATCAACGAAAGGCTCGAAAATTTTTGAACAAGTAAAGAGGTCACTAAGCAAGAGAAGAGTTTTAAGATCAAAGAGAGGAGGCTGAGAAAACTCGAAAGTTCAAAGAGAACTTTTGGGGGGCATGGACCTGAGGATTTTTGAAGGCGTGAAGAAAAATGAAGAATGGCGGGGTTTTTATACTGGCGCTAGAATTCAAAAACAAGGGATGACCCTCGAAAAACGTAACGGCCTGACAACATACTCGGAGCATGCGAAGACATGTCAGAAACCTGGGGGCCGACGTTTCGATTGACGAGGCAAAACAAATGGCTCGCACGAATCAAATGCGTGGTGACGTGTCGGAAGCCCAGAGGCTGTCGTTTCATTTGACGAGACGAAGCGACGCCTCGCGTAAGTCTGGGAAATGATGACCTGCACGACGTGCTTGTGCATAAAATGCGCCGACCGACCTGCGCATTTAAGGCACCAACTGTCAATAAATTCAGAGGGAATGCAAAGGGTCCATCCCCTAGAATCCATTCGGTCCCTACCCACACCGAGACCGAAGAATCCGGGGATGGGGGGGCAATGTTTGTGCCTAATAAATCACGGTCGTAAAAATGACCGAAGGAGTTTCCGCTCGGCCTTAGCACCTATTCATGAACTGGAACGTGGCGTTTTGTCTTCCCAGAGACAAAGGAAAAGCTGCAAAGGCATAATAGTCTCGTCCTGGACCGAGGCCGAAGGACGAAAGAGACACGGCCAAAGATATTAGAGTCAAATCGCCACGTGGCAGCAGGGTCCCACACTTCATTGAATGAAGTAACGCCTCTGACTAGCAAACCCACTAGCCGCAAGAAGGCATTTAATGCACGAGGGAAGAAGGGAAGTGACTAAAGTCAGGATTTGGTGATAAAAATCAGAGTGGTTAGGCGCAAACATTCTTACAAATATTCTTACAACTTGAGGTCAGATCACCAACCACCAGACCAGGGCATTAAATGCGTCCCCACAGCCAGAGG